TGTTGGGCCCTGGCGAGGATAGTCAGACACAGGGTAGGAGACTCTGCCTTGTGCTCTCCCGGGAGCTTGTTGTGATAATCTTTGGATCCTGGCCTTTGTTGGGGTTACACGGCAGTTGGAGGGTGTAACTGTTTAGCTACTGACAGGTCCAGTCCCAAACCGTGCAGGCTTAGAGATCTCAGTCCCGGGTCCCACACACCTGGGTTCCTCTTTTTTTCATTTACTTTTGCAACAGTAAATGAAAATAGGGTAACACTATATGGAAGTTCTGAAGGTCTACCTGGCAGTATAAAAGAAAATAAACCTCATGTGCTACTGAAATTTTTCCTGTAAATAATTAATGTGGTACTGTCTATGAAGTCAGCCTTTTATTTGATCACTTTCCATAAGTTACATTGACTGCTTTTTATCTGACTTCCTTTTTAAAGACAAGAAAGACCATGGAATTGCTCTCTGTGAAAGTATTATATTCTAGAACTTCACTTGCAGATGTGGTTGCAATAAAGTTCTACTAACCTAATCTTCCAAGATCATTTTTTGACTTCTAAAGTTGAAGTAACATCATTCCTGCCCTGGAATTTCTTGGCAGTTGCTCCTGACTTGCATTAAGAATTTGACAAGGGCCAGCAGCATAATTTACTGTAATTTTTAAACCATGAAGTAATGTGTAAATGAATTTTTTCATAATGGAACTATTAGCAAAAGAATTTTTGTATCGAGCAGTTTCTGTCTCTAGAGTCACCATAATTGAATCCCTTTACATAGAGTGTAAATGGAGTCAAAGTTCTCTCTCTTTTTAATTGTTTGTACTGATACTGAGGAAATGCATGATGCATCCTTTTAAATACCTCCAGTTTTATAGCAATTATATATGTGCTTTTGAAAAAAGACTCTTACTGAGTCATATTTCTTTGGAGGTCTAAGGATTTTTATTTAGTCTTTTGTTGTTTCCCTTTATCCTTCTTCCCAAGCAATGACCATGATCTTGAAAGCTGGTTCATTCTGCTGCTTTCTTAGCTATCTGGTTTTTCTAGTCTGCAGTTTCTCAGACTGTGGCACTGACAACTTTATTCTGCCCCCCTCCCGCTGTAGACTTGTGCTGCCCTCCCCTGCCCCTCAGCCCTACAAGAGAAAGGCTTCATGCTCATGAGATCATGTTGCTTCACGCCTTTCAGATCCATGGGACACATCCCGGTATTGGGCTCTGGATACTGTGTGGGTATTTCATTGGTTGCATTTGACCTTTTTGTAGGGATAACGGTTTCTCAGACTTGACTGCACAAAGAGCTGCATAAAATACTTATGTCTGGATTCCTCTCCCCCCCCCCCCCCCACACACACACACATTCTGATGTAATGCTTCTTGGGTGTGGCCCGAACACTGAGATTTTTTTGTAATGCTTCTTCACTGATTCTAACATGTAGTCAAGAAAGAGACAGCTGCCTGAAGTTTTCTTCCACATCCTAGATATTTTTGTTGGTTTTCGGACCACACTCATTTGTGCTCAGGGCTTACTCCTGGTTCTGTACTCAGGAAACACTCCTGCTGGGCTTGGGGACAGTCATTGAACTCAGGAAGTGCCTTATCTGCTATGTTCTTTCTGACCATCACCCCAGATTATTTGAATTCAAATCCATTTGTTTCCTTTATGGCATGTGTCTTTGCCTAGATGACTTCAACTGTGCACATAGACCCCTCAACATGTGATTGCTCAGTATCTAATTTTATTAAGATCCACTCCTTAAAAGTCAGTCTGTATTCCCATGTCTTTAGTATTGATCTCTATGCATGTAATACAATCTCAGCTAACACTAGTATGGGCCTTCCTGTGCAACAGGCTCTTCACAAAATGCTACAACTCATCTGGTGTGTGTGTGGGGGGCGGGGCAAGACAATTTCTTTTCCAATAAAATAACCTAAGGATTCACAGGACTGAGAGTAAGTTTGTTGTTGTTGTTGTTGTTTGTTTTGTTATTATTAACATTGATTTACACTTTCAGGGAATTTCAAGAAGTTAGCTACACGGCCCTGTGTGGTATAACACCCCTAACACCAAAATTTCGCCTCCATCCCAACAGCAAAGAGGACCTTCTCTTGATTCCTCCTCACCCTTCCCTTCCTTTCTGGTAGCTGCCATTCTTTTCTGGAGTCTAGGAACACATTAATTCAGTTGATTCAAAAATGTGGCCCTGATCTCTGACAGAAACTCTGATGCTGTATTTTCGAATGCCTCTAGAATCTGTCCACCCAAACAACCATTCCATCTCCATTCAGTAGGTATGAAGCTTCACATGCCCCACCCCCACCTCCACCAGCATCATCTCTCTCTGTGTGTTTTTAGTTTCAGCAAGACCTGGCTCAAATCCCAGCACTACCATTCATTGGCATATGACTTCAGTTTCCTTAGTTACAAAGTGTTGATGATAGCAATAGTAATAATGTCTGTTATGTAGACTTATGAAGGTTTTCCAAAGATCCCCTGTATAACGTGCATGGTCCCTAATGCATAGCAGACATTTAACGAATGATAACTGCTATTAATGTTTAAGATACTGCATATTACTGTCAGATCTACACTGTAAATATTCTCTGAGTCACCCTACTTCAGTCTGTCCTCATACCCTCCGGCTTTGATTGCTGCAACTCTCCTCTCTGGCTCCCCTGCCTCCAGTCTTCTTTCCTTTTTTCCCACCCTTAATCCATTCAATACACTTGTTTTCCTTGCTCATGAACCTATCAAGACTTCCCACTGTTCTTTGCATCATGCCACAGTCAAAAAAAAATCAGTTAAAAATAAAATCCTCTCATAGTTTGGCTGCGACTTTCAGACCAATTTAATTTTCCTCTTACTCCTCAGCAGTCCCCCTCCACACTGCTATTGGAGTTTTCTGGGAGGTTCTTCCCTGCATCTTCTGAACCAGGATAGAGCATTTATTCGGCTCTTACTGTACGACCCCAGTTTGCAATAGAGATATAAAACCTGGTTTCAATAAAGTCTTTTCCTGTCGTGTTTTTCTATATTGATCCTTACTTATTCCTACGATTATTTTCTATAAAACTAGTCTCAAATGTAAATATGGAGGACAGGAATATGGAGGACAGGCAGGCAGACAGGCCATTGAGTGGCTGTGGCATGATGAAAAGCACGTGATTAATTATCTAATGGAGCAGCTGCCCGTCTTCTGCCCCAAGGAAATGTAAACCAGTTTTTGAGAGCCTCCAATTTTTTTTAAGAGAAAAACTCAAATTTTTCTAATTGAGGTCTTTTAATTTTTGAGTATTGAGTGATAGCACAGTGGTAAGGCGTTTGCCTTGCATGCAGCCAGCCCAGCTGAGCCAGGTTCGATTCCTCCGCCCCTCTCGGAGAGCCCGGCAAGCTACCAAGAGTATCTCGCCCGCACCGCAGAGCCTGGCAAGCTCCCCGTGACGTATTTGATATGCCAAACACAGTAACAACAAAGTCTCCAATGGAGACGTTACTGGGCCTGCTCGAGCAAATCAATGGACAGCAGGAGGACTGTGTTTATTTTTGTTTTTGAAAGTTAATTAAAAAGATTGGATGACAAAATGCACTGTACCACTGTCCTGCCATTGTGCATTGATTTGCTCGAGTGGGTACCAGTAACATCTCCATTGTGAGACTTGTTACTGTTTCGGGCTTATCGAACCACGGGGAGCTTGCTTGGCTCTGCTGTGAGGGCGGGATCTCTTGCTAGCTTGCGGGGCTCTCTGAGAGGGATGGAGAAATCGAATCTAGGCCAGCACGTGCAAGGCAAATGTCCTGCCCACTGTGCTATTGCCCCAGCCTGGATAACAAAATATACCAATATGTCTGAGTAGAACTATAGATTTATAATTTTGTCCCCTTCACTTTATAATTTGTATACCAGATAGTTTAGTACTTAATTATTCTCTGCTTGTTTGGCATATTTTATTTTTTTGCCTTCCCAACAGAGGTATCCACTCTAGCAATTTTTTCTTATTTCAAGCAGGTATTGATGCATGTAGTACAGTATTTAAAATTTATAAGAAAAATGTTGGAATATTGATTAGAGAAATATTTAATAATGCAGAAGACTTCAAAATTTTTATTTTATGATTTTTTATGTGTTGTGAAACAGTGGAAATATCCAGTATTTTTTTTTATTCTCATATTCATCGTTAGTTTTGTATCTTGTCATGTTGTTTAGTCACTTTGGGATACAACATCCAGATTTCTTTGTGGAAAAAGGAACAAAATTTTTTGGTACTTTTTTTGTATTATTTGATACTTACCATTGAATGGTATATGAAACATCTTTAAATAATTTGTAAATAATCTCAGTACTTCACACATATTAAGAATGTAGCAAATAGGATTATTTACCCTTTAGGAAACCAGGAAACATGTGCCAGGGTTATATATGGATTCTGTTTTTTCAAAATTTTTCTCCTATGCAATACTAAATGCATATAATTATAAGCCTAAAACATTTTTAGTTATATTGCATCTCTAAAAAAAAGTTCCTGTATTTTTTTGATAGAATGAAGCCTAGAAAATCTCTGTTCTTGCTCTATACAACATAATTTCACATTGTTACTTCCTGTGTAACTGTAGTAATATCTCAGTAGCAATCAAAGTTTTTCCACCCAGCCCAGTTACCATAAGACATGAGTAACTGTTTGACTCATATGAGTTTGGACAAAAAAGGGGGGAACATATTTGACTAACACATGAGTACTATTGTATTATCCAAACAGGACTTTTTAAAAAATTTTTAGCCAAAATGCACAAAAAGACAGGTTTTCAGACCCTGATTAAGCTTTGGTATATCCATCAGTTTGGATAGAAGAATGTTAGGAACTTAAAGTGTTGCGTCATCTTTCCTGTGAATTATGGTCTCAACCACCTTGCTCTAAAGTTTTGTTGATGTTGATGTGGTAAACATGTAGAACACTGCACAAATCCAGTCTTTGTTTTTTTTTGTTTTGTTTTTTTTTTTTTTTTGGTTTGCTGTAGGTACTCAGCGTGCCAATGCCCGGGCTCCAGCCCCTTACAAGAGAGACTTTGAAGCCAAACTAAGGAACTTTTACAGGAAGTTAGAGACTAAAGGATACGGACAAGGTCCAGGGAAATTAAAGTAAGTCACAATGTTAGAAACTGCCCATTTGTAGAAAGGAAGACTATGGAATACACTTGGGAATTTAGGAATTCGATTGTTATATGGGACAACCAGCCTTTTTTCAATTGGCCTGATTATTTGATGTGTGTAAATTTTAGGATCATCTAAAGCACAGTTTTGGAATTAAATATGATTCTTTTCTCTTTTGCTGTGTCTTTTTAAACAGGGAACCTACCACTTTTTTTTTATTAAAAATATTGGTAAAATTTGTTTACCTCTTTTGTTTGTTTATTTGTTTCTTTATAGACCATTCATTTGCTCTAAGGCCTTCTCGGTGTTTTATGTGACATATTACTGTTTCCTGAGTTGGTCTGAGTAGAGGAAGCTGGCTTAGCTATATTTTATTCTGTGAATAATCTTCGCTTGTTCAACAGAATAGGTTATGAATGTTTCTTCTCCCATTATTTCTCCAGAGACCTTCAAATGGGAACATTGAAACGTCATTGTGTTCTTGGCCCTAGAATTATTTTCAGCTCTCTTTGCCCATGCTGCCTTCATTCTCCATTCCATGTCACATGTCCCCTCTAGCAATGAGTGACTGTTCTATTGAAAGGAAACAGAGGAGGGTCTTTCCTGAAGCACCTCCATAAGTGGGGGAGCCCCCAGAAGAGCCTCAGTGCCAGCCAACATGCACAGCACCACAGAGAGCATCCAGACCACAGCACTGTGCCCCACATCCCATACCATATCTTATTGGGCTTTACATTTCTCACATTTCACCCATGAAAGTCTTAATGATCAAGTTTTCAGGTGTACCTCTTCATGCCATGAGTATTCGCATTAAGAGCAAGTTGATATCTGCATACGTTGACTGCGTCCTTATCACAAGTTAGCTGATCAGTCATGGATATCAATTCATTTTTTTCTGTCACTTAGAATATCTTAACATTTACTCAATTAAAAAATTCTATCGCGTACAGTTGTAAACTCTCCTGCTTTAGAGGACTCAAGAATTTTTTCCTCCCTTTTACCCCAGTCATCTCCCTCTGAGCACTTAAAAATTGAATTCCTTGTTTAGGTATAATTAGGCTTAAAATATTGCTTCATAAAATTGTTCTTCCTTTACAAAAAAAAAGACAACATATGTGTGTAATCATTTTCCTTCAAAGATAAATCTGTTTAACTTTTCAGAAAGGACTATCGGATTATTTCTACAAGTCAGAGGTGGAGTGTTCCATTTAGTAACTTGTTATTGCTATGAAGAGTTAAAGACAAATGTATGCTTAGTGATACTAAGTTGGTCCACTTTTCACCAAATAATTATGGGAAATGGTGATAAAATGGCATGTGTTGTAGTTCTAAAACAGTAAGGATTATTAGAAAATAATCTTTTTTTTTTCAATCATCTCTCTGTGGGTAGGTTAATTATCAGAAGAGATCACCTACTCGAAGATGCTTTCAATCAGATTATGGGCTACTCCAGAAAAGACCTGCAGAGAAATAAGCTATACGTCACCTTTGTTGGGGAGGAAGGGTGAGTAGAACAGAGAAGTGGCTGGTGGAACAGTGACTGCTGTTTCGGGGCGGATGTTTCACCACATTGTCGCTTGTGGTTGCCTGAAACAGGAAATCCTCCTAGCAGGAAATGCTATTCTCACACACTTAAATCTTTCAGTTTTTTTTAAAAAGGTTTTTCTGTTTTTTTAATCATTTGACATAAATTCTTTGGCTAAAAAATACTATTGATCATTTTTTGAGAAAGGAGCTTGGATTTGGATTCTCTGTACATTTTCTCTTCAGGAGAAAATTTGGGACCTTGAAGGGAAAAAAAATACACACAAAGAACTGTTTTCTAATGTCTGTGATCTTGTTATCCATCCGAGTATGTTAGTATGAGGCACTTTAACATGTTAAAGCATATTGTATGAACTCAGATTCGTAATTGGAAATTAATTAGAACCTGCTTTTCTGCCAGCAGCCTCCAGTTAGTAACTTTTAGGCCTCAGTCTTATTTCTTTAGCCTCAGTTTTTGATTCTTCCTCCAAGACTGTTCCACACCTACCCAGCTACCTGCTGGAAGCAAACATCTGCAACCTTTTATGACTCTGTCATGAGTGTGCTCATGTAGATAAGGGTTAGGAAATAAAGGAGTGAAGACTCCCACACACAGTTGGCTGCATCCAACAGACATAACAGTTGTTAAATAACACTCTAGAAGTTCACAGCTCTAATCTCTCCCAGGCCCTTTCCTCTGTTCTCATCACAGTGCTAGATTTTGAGACTTAGCACTTTCTTTGTTACCCAGTGATCTTGAGTTGTGAATTTAAAACCACTCTATTGTCTGAACTATGATTGGCTTCCCTTCAACTCCGATGCCTTGTATTATTTTAAGGCTATCCCTTCCAGTCATACTCAGGAATAAATGATTATAGTCATAATTTTCAGTAAATTTAAGCATTCTGTTAATACTTGATAAAGTGAAGTCTCCAAATATGAAATGACTTGCACTTGCCAAAAGATGAAAGCAAACTTGAAGTTTGGCACTAGGTCTTTTGTCTTTCATCCAATGCTCTTGAATGTAGGCAAAACAACTGAACTCTGATACTTAAGTTGTTTGAAAAGAACAGGTAGGGTTTTTTTTTTTTCCCTACCTATACATCTTTTTACTTGTATGGTTGTCAGTGACTAACTTCTCCTCCTGTCACACACATTATTGTACAATCTCACTATGACCAGTTAGAGTAAAATATTACATGGAAAACAATGTAATGGATTTGGGCAAAAACCTCCCTCACAGATTTTTGAGAGTTTACATGATGATGTGTGTTCATGGGCTTCTAGATATGTTAGTTGGCTTACAGCTGCAGGTGCACAATTGAAAATGAAGGCAAATGTTTTTAGCCCAATCATAAGTATGCATGGGATTCCAAGTATTTCCTTACATAACCACTCTGGTTTGGATGAGAATATTTTCCTCCCCCAGAACTCCAGCTGCCTTCTTTATTGTTGGACCACAGTTTGTTGAAATCTTAGAGATGCAGGAAAGAATCTTTGGAAGCTCTGGTTCTTATATTTGCATAGAACAGATGCTTCTCATGCTTGACCATCCTAAAGTGGTCTATGCATGATCAGGACTGATGAGATCCATTCCTCGGAGGAGTCCTTTGTTGAGTGGAGTTTGGTATCTCTATTTGATTGCTGCTAATGTCAAAATGCTTCCTTCTTCCATCACCTGTTTCCTTTCTGTAAATGCAGAGGGAAAACAAGGGAATGGTATTTTGAGTTGTGATCTCAGTCACTGAAAACATTTTTTATATTCAAGCCTCTCTGCACATGGATTATTAAAACAATAGATAGGCAGATAATGTCTGGTCATTACCATGTCAGTATCATAGTTATGGATTCTTAGATTTTTGGCTTTATCCATTTAAATACCTTCAGTGTGTCACTTTTTAAGTTTTTCATATCTAGCTTGAGGAATAGAATGTGCCAGATCTTGACTTTAAAAAAAAAAAAGAACCACGGCTTTTTAAAGAAGTGGTAGTTTTAACACTCACACAGAAAAGTTGTAAGATGAAGCCTAACAGAGGCACCGTGTACCTCTTTAACAATGTCCCATCATTGCAGACCTTTTGAGCACTGCATTTCCTGGCACACCAAGAACCAACACAGGAAGAGTTCCCAAGGCCCATGCTAGTATAATTTCAGCAAAAAAAGAAAAGAAATAAAGTAGTATTGGGTTAAAACCGAAGCTCTAAAATACATATCTAAACTAATAAAATGGAAAAAATAAATGGAGGAGAATAGAAAAACCTCCTGTGCAGAAACTTTCCGACTCGTTCCGTCTAATTTCCCACTTCTAAAGACTGTGGGTCACACAGAGTAACCTTCTTCGAGTTGTGCAATATGAGGTGAGAAAAAAAGTATGTCTATAGTGAAGAAGACTGATGAACATTCAGTCAAGTGTCAAGGTTAAAGTCAATTGTCAAATGTCCTGTGGATGTTAAGTATCCTTGATAGGGTGATTAAATGGCACTTTCCCTCTGCAGTCTTCCTTCCCAAACCCTCGAGCACTAATCTAATCATGAGAAAAACATTAAGTCAATCCAAATTGAGGGGTGCAAGGTGCCTTTTCAGTACTCCTTCAAACTACCTCAGTCATCAAAAAAACAGACAAGCCTGGTCACTGTCACAATCAAGAGGAGCCTAAAGAGATGTGGCAATGGGGGATGTGAGAGAGTACAGCAGTTGGGTGCATGGCTAACATGCATCCACCTGGTTCTATTCCTGGCCCCACATGGTCCCTCAGTTATCACTTGAAGTGGCCTTACCATCACTAGGGTGGCCTGGGTTTCCCAGTACCACAGGATAGCATCACATTCTTGGGCCCTTGCATTGATCCAGTGACCCTGTTGGCGAAGAATCAATGGTAGGGCCCCGAATCTCCTGAGCACTGCTCAGGAGCACTCCTTTGCCACCACCACCAGCCCCTCCCCCCAGAAAATGACAATTCGATAAAATGTATTCTGGATAATATCCTGGAACAGAAAGGTAAAACTAAGTATAACTCAGGAAAAGCTAAGGAAATCTGAATAAAGTGTGAATTTTAGTTGCTAATGAAACATAAACATTGGTTCATTGTAATAAATATATTTTACTAATTCAAAATAGCAGTGAGATGGTGTGGAATATATAAGAATTTTTCATGTTATTTGTAACAATTTCTGTAAATTATTTGAATGATTTCTATTATAAAGCCTTTATATTTTTAAACAATGAAAAATAGTTAATTAAAAAATAGTATCAGGATTTGGGAAGAATTAAGAAATGTTTTCCTAAATGATTTTTCTTATTTTCTGGTCAACAAGTGACTACCACCAGGGTAATTTTGATTTTTCAATACATCTTTACATGAGATTACTAGAGTAATGAGTATATAGATAAAGTTAATTCTATAGAAATTCTAAATAAGTGTTGATTTATATAGAGTATTATTTTGCATTGCTAATGACAACTTTATGATATCTGCAAGGGAATAGTATTTTGAAGTTCTCTTTGGTACTATCTTGATGATTGTAGTTCCTTCCTTGTCATATAATTTAGTGTCATTCTTACAATAAATTAATAGGACACAAAAAGAAAGATACTTGTTTTGAATAGTAACAGGTCTGCATGAACTGCAAAAAAGGAGAGATCTTAGAGTCTATTATTGTAAAGATTTTAATTGGCAACAGATTATCATTTATTCCTAAGATATTCATGTTTTGCTTGACTTTTTACAAAAAACAGATAGTGGGTCTAAGCAGATCAATGTGATTTAAATTGGTCAGAACTGAAGATTTAGTTTCCTGGTTACTAAAATTTCCGCTTAATTTGTTTATCTGACCTTGCAAGGTGGGAGGAAGGAGGCCATCAATGGTAGATGGCTGGAAACTGAGTCATTTGCTTGACTGTGGTAGGAACTTGCATGCTGTGGTTGCTTTTTTTCTGTTGGGTTTCTGAGAGCCTCAAAGTTGTTTCTTTAGGAAGAGTCCAGTGGAACACCACTTACTCTCTTCTGAATTGAAAGACCTGACAACAAAAGCAATGCAGTTTCAAAAAAAATAGTATAGTAATGTAGACTGTTGTGTTCAGAAACACATACTGGGCCATTAGTATCTTAATCCCCCCCAGACAGTAAGGAAATAATCACCTGACTAAAGAGAGGATGTTTACACTGTGTTTGTCTTGCCTAATTTTTCTCTAAGACCAGCTCTGTAAAAGGCACCTTTCTCTAAGAAAGAATGAGTTCATTATATGCAGGGTGCCATTTCAGTCAACTCAATCCTTTGTCTTGCAGAGCTATCCATAGAGTAGGGAAAAAAATGTAGCAAGTTTTAGTTTGGGGCTTTAAGTAGGAATGAGCTCTTTCTGGGATGTTTATCTCAATACAGGTAAGTAAAAACTGCTAGGGACGAGATCCTAAGAGTGTTCTTCCATCCCTGCTTATCAAATAACTAGCAGTTTCTACTTGTGACTTGTCTAATTCTTACTAGAAGTTGTTTGGGGGTCGTGAGTGTCATTACATTTTCCTCAGAAATCTGTAAGGCTACAACTTCAATTTTGTGGGCTACTTATTTACTTATTTTTTAAATTTTTTTAAAAAAGACATATAGGATAATCTAAATAACCAAATCTGTGCTGGAAAAGGGTATGTTTCTATATCTAGACTTTGGCTTAGAAGCACAAACAAAACTGTCACTGTGTCAACAAAATTCCTTACTTCCTACCCTGCTTTCTTAAGTGGTGTAAGAATCTTGCTGCTATAATTACACAGGGTAAACCAGAAGGTGTTTAAACTATGTGTACCTGAACCAATTTAAAAAGAAAGCAGAAATTTCTATATTCCAGAAAACACATTAGAAATGATGGTGTGACTTCCCATGCCACTGACTCTTCTCATTTTATATAGTCACATCTGCTGGACTACTTTATCTTCAGAAATTCTGGGTCAATTTTGGCAGAAATCTCTCATGTTTAATTGTTTGGCAGAAA